TATATTCCTCCCCTTCGAACATTCTTTTACATTTTTGTAATTGTTTTTATTTTCCCATTGGTAAATTGCTATTGTAACTAAATTTAGCATTTAACTTGCAGTTGCACACTTGTATTTTAAAAATTACGACAATATTTTTCATAAAAAAATTCAAATAATAAAGTAGTAATATATACGTGTGTGTATGTGTATATAACTCGACTGTAATTTGAGTGTGTTATTTTTTTTGTTTGTAAAATACAGTAATTTGAGTGTTCGTTTGATCAGGCTTCCTTTTACTAACTAAAGGCATCATCTCAAACCGTGTGAGAAATCTTTGGAGAAGTTACTTTTGTCTTAGTTTTATCTTCGTAATATTCGTAGCTTTTCTTATATTCTCTTTGAAGGCACCAAATGGATTTTTTCCGATATCAAAGAATATTTCTTTCCATTATTCTTCCTCCCATCTTAAGCGTAGTAGAGAGCTTTTCCCCAAATATGGTTTCACTGGAATATAAAAATATATTTGTTAAGATCTCATACAATGCTTTGTTGCAGAGCCAAAAGGTAGACTAATTACAGCTCCCTTAAAAATATATAATTATACAAAGATACTGTTTTCTTGACCAAGATAATAAATAACTAAACAGTTATGCTTTCTTTTTTTTGTTCCTTAGCCAGTACAAGGTCATATGAAAGCTGCAAAGAATCAGATTAAACTGTAGTGTTTTTAGAAATGATTACAATGAGATATATTCACTTACTGTAAAGAAAGGTAGTATACACATCAATGATCCCAACTGTGTAACCAGAGCAAAAGAAACCAAGTTACAGTACAAGACATTTGGTTCTTGATAGAAAAACATATGTATCCACAAGCTAGGAGCCAAGAAAGAAACTCATATATATAGAGAGGGGGTTCGGTTTAGTGGTCTTTGTCTCGAGACTTGTGGTTGTCATCGAGAAGATGGTTTGCAGCCACTTTTGCGTTCCTTTTGCAGGCAAAATACGCCACCTCCGCATCCCCTCTCTCAAATCCCAATGCTTCCAACTGTTTTTAAACCAAAACACACCTTTTATGAATATATATTGTAATAACGAATCAAAATGAAGTTGGGGTTTCTAAGAAAGCAAGTGAATAACTGTTAGAATCGGGTTTATTATTATGAACTTCAAGTTTAAAACCAATTGGTAATTATGGAATGGCTCAAATTATTTATATATTACTTAAATCCCTATCATATTTCTAATGTAGGGTCTTTAATCCCAACGATAACACATATATAGACTGACCCGTTCGATCAGTTCACAATCCTCAGGGGTAGCGACTTCAACTTCAGTTTCTTTAGTCTCTCCCACTTGGTTGCAACTGAATCACACAACAACAACAACAAAAATCCACAAGAACTTAAGTAAAAAAAAAAAAAAAATCGGTTAATTTTACAACCAACATTATTTATGGTAAATTTTGTTACCCATCTCCTCCGTTGTTTGTTGGTTTGTTGGTTTGGTCTGCTTGAGGCTGCTCAACTTCGGTTTCTTCAGACTCTCTCACTTTGTTGCCACTAAATCACACAACAACAAGAAAGCTCAGCTAACTATTTTCTATATCATTTTACTACTAACTAACATTATGGTAAGCTTCGTTACCTATCTCCTCCGTTGTTTGGTTCGTTGCTTTGAAAGGGTAAGACGGCGTCGTCTCGGTGTTCCCGAGGCCAGTCCAACACTAAGAGTAAAAACTCTGCTTTGTTGTCGTCAATCAACTGAAACAACGGCGGATTTTGTTTCTCTAACATGTCAAGAATATCCTGCAGCAAGATTAAAAAAAAAACTTGAGAGTATAATAACTATTTGCATTCCCTTTTTTCTTTTGTTGCATTTTTGGTTTTACCTCTCGGTGACGAGGGTTTGATTTCACCAGAGCTAGTAAATACTCAAACTAGTTGTCACAACGTACAAAAAAAAGTTTAGATCGATCTCCACCAAATTAATCTCAATCTCCTTTTGATCTTTCAAGTAAGACAGAGAACTAGAGAACACAAGTCAATACCTCTGTATTGTGTCGCAAGAAATCAAATGGCCGTTCTCTGGTTGCATATTCATAAGCTTCAGGTTCTTGAGTTTGATCATTTGTGCCCTTTTCATTACATTTTTATTCTCTCAGTCTTCAGAGTAACACATGTTGCTACAATAAAATTTAGTGTATTAATAATTACCTCCATTATGTAAGGATCTTCACTCTGCACTGGGATTCCCTTTTTTTCAAGAAAACAAAATTATTAGTCTTCAAACGACATATTTACTTTACTATGGGGATAGGGTTTTGAAGAAAGAACTCACAAAGTAAATATATTCCACAGCTTTATCAATGTCATTATCTGCCAAACAGAGTGCATCGACAACCAAGTCACGCTCCCATTCTCCTCCGGCCATCTCAAGAATCCACTGAATGTTACTCTCTGAAATACTTTCATAGTTTGCAGGAGCAACCCAGGCAGGTTCAGTAGTCTCAGTTGCATGAGCCTAAATAAAGTAATCTCAAGTTACTATAATCACTCACTAAACAAAAGATGCAAAAGGTAACAAGAATCTTAGGTTAAATGGAAAAACCAACGTCACCTGATGTTTTAGGATAGCAGATGCAGCAGTAGACATCCCGGTTGAAGCAGGTTTTCTCTACATTATAAGCCAACGTCACAAGATCAGTAAGCTTATAAAACTCGTTCTAGACCATAAATACCATTTTACCTAAACCCTAAACACACCTTCATAACGGCAATTGTGCTATTCTCGGAAACGTTGTTAGCCTCTAAAGTTGTTTCATCTTTAAGGAATTTCCCTTTGTGAATAAGCCTTTGTCCTCCAGCAGGATATGCAGTAGCTCCCAGCACTGTCTCTATGTTCTTCTTCACATCAGCAACCTAATCGATCGTACATATATTTGTAACATTAACCATCAGTTACTTAACTAAAACAGAACAATATCAATACAGATGATTGACTCATGGATCTAAACAAAGAAACCATACAAGCAGCTTTACGTATCATATTCAAGAGTATTATTACTCTTTATAGAAACTAACAAAAGTAACTAACTTCCAGATCAAGAAACAGTGATTAATCTTCTACCGTGATAAACAAGAAATTGAACGAACAACCTCCTTACCCTAGATATGAAACGATTTGATCGATCAAAGTTTCTTGAGATTTTACATACCGAATCATCTTCTTTGACTTGGATCTCGAAACGAATCCCCTTCAGAGTTTCGACAAATATCTTCATCTTCTCTTTCGCCGAAGAAAGAAAAGAGATTCAAGTTCAGAGAAAACCGGCGAGATTCTGTTTCGATAAATCAGCGGTAACAAACTTCCGAGCAGAGAACTAAGATAAAGCTGAGTGACGACGAGAAGGAGACGACTAAACCTGTACGCTGGCTTTCACTACGTAACCTCCTTCACATGGTTTATATATAGTCTTCCTCTGATCATCATTTCTCTAATAATTCAATGTGATTTTGACACGTGTATTCTGATGAATGGTTAACAAGTCTTTGACGTCTTTTTTCCTCTTTCCTCTCATTTTTAATTACTTGAAATGACCCAAATTGATCTTAAAATGACTATAATGACTCATATAAAATTTTAAATACTAGACTCTATTTTGTAACAAGCAAATGGACTAAAATACCCTTTTAATGTGTGTAATCCAAAAAAAAAAATTTACGAGGAAAAAAAAACATTAAACATAAAAGAGAAAATAAATTAGATTTAACATAAAAGAGAAAAATAAAATTGTTTCTCGGGTCTCTCTCTCTTTCTCGCACGACAACGACGATTTCGAAGGGGGGGATTCTTCGATCGAGTCTCGTCGTCGTTCCTCTCTCACTCCGACACCATCGCCTCTGTCAGAAGTCCATCTCGTCGTCTTTGTCTCTTACGTTGCATCTTTCCACAGACTAGAATGATGTGATCCATTGTTCTGTAAACAGAAAGAATGGAAGAAAGTGTTCAAACCACCATAAAAGGAACAACTTGAGAAAGAAGAAAAGAGGGGTGAAAGAGATGACGACAGTTACTAAAAAATTAATTAGCCCTAATTGTGGTCTTAAACCACTAGAAATAAACCAAAATCGAATTAATTGGAGTAAACCGGGATTAAATCCGAATTTAATTTCTACTGGTTTACTAAAACCCAGAATAATTAAACAAATCTGTCACTACGTAAAATAACAAGTCGGCCACGTCGTAATGCAACAAGTCTACAGCATTTGTAAATCTGTGATAGATTTGCCTTAAGTCTACCGTAGGAAGAATATATTTTCTATACAAATCGGTCATAACTCAACAAGTCTGCCTTTCAAAAATAAGTCGATCGCACAAATCTGTGGTTTGATACAAATCTGTTGTGTCATCCGACAGACATATTTAAGAAATCGTTTTTTTAATACAAATCAGACAAAATATAGACAAATCTGTTGTGTCATACGATAGACATTTTTAACAACTCTGTTGTACGGCAGAGGTAATTCTGACCACGAAAACATTCTAATAATTTGAAAAAAAATATGAGTCATTCTAGTAATATCACCATAAATTTGAGTCATTCTAATTTTCTTCCCTTTTTTTTTTGAAAGAATTTTAAATTTATTCAAACAAAAAAACAGTTTTACATACAAAATGCTGCAACTATAAATTGGGACAAACGAATTCGAAATTGGAACAAAGAAAAAAGAAACCAAAGACTACTCAAAACACCTCCCCTTTCAACCCTAACCATATGGAACAAGTCAAGGTTGAAAGACCATAGAATTATCCTCTCATTTTAGGTTTAAAATGTTTGCAATTTCATCTATTTAAGGCAGCTTCTCGTTTTAATAAGCAGTGTAAAATTATCTCAAGATATATTTTGCATCTATACTATTAAAACATAATTATTCTAAACAATCTACTGTAAAAATTACTGGACCAATTTAACTTAATCAATGACAAAATCTACTCATAATGAAAATGATTACAATGAGATATATTCATTTATTGTAAGGAAATGTATTATACACATCAATGAATCACCCCAACTGTGTTAACCAAATCGAGCAAAAGAAACCATGTTACAGAAACAAGACATTTGGTTCTCGATAGAAAAATAGATGTAACCATTACAAGCCAAGAAAGAAACTCATAGAGAAAGAGAGAGAGTTTGGTTTAATGGTGTTATTCGCGAGGCTTGTGGTTGTCATCTAGAAGATGGTTTTCAGCCCCTTGTACGTTCCTGTTGCTCTCAAATACCAGTGCTTCCAGCTGTTTTAAAACCAAAAACACACGTATTATGAATTATGAATATAGTAACGAATCCAAATGAAGTTTGAAGTTTTTAAGAAAGCAAGAGAATAACACATAAACAGACCTGTTCGATCCATTCATTATCCTCAGGGGTAGTAGCGACTTCAACTTCGGTTTCTTTAGACTCTCCCACTAGGTTGTCACTGAATCACACAACCATAAAGAATCCACATGAAAATAAGTTTAATTAATTTCTGTATCGTTTTACTAACATCATTAAATTTACTACCAACATTAATTATGGTAATTAAATTTTTGTACCCATCTCCTCCTTTATTTGGTTTGTTGGTTTGGTCTGCTTGAGGCTGCTTAACTTCGGTTTCTTCAGACTCTTTCACTTGGTTGCCACTGAATCACACAACAACACCAACAAAGAATCCACAATAAAAACTTAAACCAAAAGAAAGCGCAGTTCATTTTACTACCAACATTAATTAAATTTGGTACCCATCTCCTCCGTTGTTTGGTTCGTTGGTCTGGTCTGCTTGGATTTCCTGAGGCTGCACCATGTCATTGGCACTGAAAATCCACAAAACGTACTTAACCAAGAGCTCTAGTTCAATTTAGGATCTGATCAGTCTCTGAATCGTAAACTAAAGACAATGTTTTACCGTGTTCCTCCTTCAACTTCAAGTAGTAAGCGTAAAAAGAGAGCCTTGTTGTCTTGAATCAACTCAAACAATGGCGGATCTCGTTCCTCTAGCATCTCTACAAAATCCTACAGCAAGATTCAACAAAACCCAAATAAATAAATAAAACTGGAGAGAACAATAATCATTTAATTTGCATTATTCCAATTTTTCTTTAGTTGCATTTTTTATTTTTTACCTTTACGTAAAGAGGGTCTGATTGCACCAGATCTCGTAGATACTCGTGCTAGTTGTCACAACAACGTACCCAAAAAAAAAAAAAAAAAAAAACTAGTTAGATCTCCACCAAATTTAAGTAAGACAGAACATGAAACAACGGCTCAATACAATACCTCTGGAGTATAGAAGAAATTAAATAACCGTTCTTCGTCTGCTTCATCAGGACTTTCAGGTTCTTGAGTTTGATCCTGTGTGCCCTTTTCATTACATTTTGATTCTATCAGTCTTCATATCACACATACCCTACTCTTGCTTCAACCAAATTTAGTGTATTTAATTTACCTCAGACGTTATGTAAGGATCTTCACTCTGCTCCGGAAAACCCTTTTTTTTTTTTAATGAAAAATAACATATCAGTCTTCAAACTACATATTATTCTAACTATGGGCACACAACGTTTAACGTTTTTGAAGAAGAACTCACCAAGTAAAGATATTCCAAAGCTGTATCAATGTCATCATATGCCAAATAGAGTGCAGAGGTAACCATTTCACGGTTCCAGCCTATTCCGACCATCTCAAGAATCTTCTGAGTGTTACTCTCTGAAACTCTTCCACTTGCCACGTATGATGATGATTCACCAGCCGATGCAGGTTCAGTAGGAGGAGACGTTCCGGTAGATGCAGGTTTTCTCTGCAGTTATAAGCCCCACCCGCGAACACAGAATCAATAAGCTTATAAAACTCTAGCTAGAAACATAAACTTTCGTTACCATTTTTACCTAAAACCTAAGCACGCACGTACCTTCATAACGCAGATAGTGCTTTTCTCGGAAACGTTGTTAGCCTCTACTGTTGTCTCATCTTTAAGCACTTTTCCTTTGTGAATAAGCATCTGTTCTGCAGCAGGATATGATGCAGTAACTCCCACCACAGTCTCTATGTTCTTCTTCACATCCGCAACCTAATCACACATATATTGTATATAACGAAAACAGAACAATGTCAATACAGAGGAGAACGAAACCATACAAGAGCACATGATTCAAGAGGATTACTCTTTATAGAAACTAGCAAAAAGTAACTAACTTCCAGATCAAGAAACAGTGATCAGTCTTTTACCGTGATAAACAAGAAATCGACCTAACTACCATAACTATGTTACTCGAGTGTGTCAAGAAGCGAAGTTTCTTGAGATTTTAAACGTACCGAATCCTCGGGGTTGACTTGGATCTGGAAGCGATCACCCTTCAGAGTTTTGACAAATATCTTCATCTTCCCTTTCACCGGAGAAAGAAAAGAGATTCCACGTTCAAGAAAACCGGCGCGAGATTCTGTTTCGATGAGAAAGAAGCAGGTGAGTGAGTGACGACGAGAAAGGAGAAGAAAACGAGTCAACTTTATATACGCTCGGGGTTGGTTCACTATATATCACTTAATTCCTTCACGTGGTTTATATAGTCTTCCTTTGCTCATTGTTCTTCTAATAATCCAATGTAATTTTGACACGTGTTATCGGTGACTGGTTAATATGTCACCGACGTTTTTCTTCTTCTTCTTTATTTAGCCTATACGTAACAATTACCTACGTGGTTTATATAGTCTTCCTGGTCATTATTTCTCTAATAATTCAATGTGATTTTGACACTTTTAATCTGGTGACGGTTTAACAGGTCAGTGACGACGAGAAAGGAGAAGAAAACGACTCAACTTTTACTCTCGGGTTCACTTTATCACTTCCTTTACGTGTTTATATAGTCTTCCTCTGATCATTATTTTGTCTAATAATCCATTTTGAAAATGTAGTCGTATTTATAAATGTAACTGTTGTATTTGTACTTAATTTTATATTTTTGCATTTTAGCGTAAAATATAACACAAATAATCTTTTACAAGCAAAGCTGTCTTGTTGCTGTAACTATCGTTGTCTTTATGATGATTATTAATATCACAGAGACTAACAGTATATCCACATGGGTCAACAGAAAATGGACATTAATCAACATGCCAATGCTGGCTAGCTAGGAAAAGAGCAGCAAATAGGTTACGGATGGGTTCAATCTGCAGCAAAAATACAAAGCACCTAAGTCAGATGGACTCTTAAAGGGGTTGTTAACATGATCAAACACTTGCCATCTGATCACTTCCTGGCCATAACATTCAAATTTCTAAGATAAAAAGAGGTTCAAGTAGATGAAAACAGTCATTTTTGGGGGTAATACATGATCAAAACAAACTTGCTCCAATGTTTGTTCAGCGAGATCCATCCGTAGTTGATATCATGACCCCTGCGGCAAAAGAACCTAGTCCAAGACTTAATCCCAGCTTATCACTACATTGAAAACGTAAAAAGACATGTTAAATAATAGTTACTCAACATTCCCTCAACAATGCCAGAATTTCTGGACTCCGATGCTAAAAAATAAAACTCCAAAGCATTTGAAAATTCAAGAAAGACAATGGACAATGGAAAGTATAATTAGATACCTGAAGAATAAGACCATGTTTATTGTATGTCCCTTAAGTTGGATCCCTTAGCGTACGGTCCCTTAGCTTTTAACTGAAAACGCTAAGGGACGTCCCTTAAATCCCTTATATAAGGGACGTCCTTTAAATCCCTTATATAAGGGACGTCCCTTAGCATTTTCAGTTAAAAGCTAAGGAACTGTACGCTAAGGGACCCAACTTAAGGGACCTGCAATAATCATGCTCTTAGGGTTCCAATTGTAACTTGGCCACGAAATGAATTAGTTGAATTTTTCTCCATCAGCACCTGTAGTTCATGAACATAAAACCAAAAAAAATAATATCAAAAAGAGAGCTATTGGAAATGGATAGATAAAATTATATAGTACACTGAAATTACCACTGCAGTTGATGACATTGACAAAAATGCTCCTACAAATACGCCCTATTTGGCCGGCAAGCTGAGAAAGTTAATGAGATTTTCTTTTTAATTGCTAATAGAAATGGAAGTTGAGTTGAGAGAAAGAGAGAAATTACGCGTGTGGCGAGCTCGAGTGATTGAGTGTTGTTGATGATGGAAAAAACATGGAAGACATAGAATAAAGAGTAATTATTAATTCATTAATTTTGAAAAAGACATGGAATGTATAAATTAAAAGTAATTATTATTGCATTGAAAAAGGCAAAAAAAATATTTAAATATGAATTCATTTAATTACTTCAGTTGTAAATAAATTGTAATTTCAAAGATTAATTTATAAGTGTACATCTATTTTAGTAATATAGATGTGAACATAGGTATACGTAGCCATTCAATGTTTTTTTTTTTTTTTTACTGAAATAGCCATTCAATGTTTTCTTTTTCTTTTTCTCTTTCCTATCATTTAGGTTTAAAACGTAGTTATTTATCTTATCTTGCAATTCCAACTATTTAAGGCAGTTTATCATTATTACAAGCAAGTATTCTGAAAGTATATCATTCATCTTTATTTAAACAAAACAAAAAAAATCACTTAACGCGTGTATTTGTGATTATCTAGAAGAAATATTCCAAGTTTACTTTTACAACATCAAAAAAAAAAAAAACCACCACTTCGATCTAACTAATTTGTTCCTCACAGTCTTTCAATCTCTGCTTCAACACGTACGGGTTTATGCTTGTGCATCCTTTGGCGTTTCAACTTCGGTTTCCTCAGACTGATCTCCCACTTGGTTGGCACTGAATCACACAACAACAAAGAATCCACAATAAAAGCTCAGTTATTTTCTGTATCATTTTACTACGAAAAACATTAATTATGGTAATTAAATTCTGTACCCATCTCCTCCGTGGTTTGGTGTGTTGGTTTGGTCTGCTTGAGGATGCTCTACTTCGGTTTGGTCTTCAGACTCTCCCACTTGGTTGCCACTGAATCACACAACAACAAGAAAGCTCAGTTAATTTTCTATAGTATCATTTTACTATTAACATTATGGCAAGTGTCGTTACCTATCTCCTCCTTGAAGTTCTTCCTGAGGCTGCTCCAGTACGAAGCGTAAGAAGTCTGCCTTGTTGTCTAGAATCATCTGAACCAATTGCGGATTTTGTTCCTCTATCACCTCTAGAATATCCTGCAGCAAAAAAAAAAAAAAAGATTCAACAAAAACAAAAAAAAAGATTCAATATAATCATCTGAACCAATGGTTTTTTTACCTGTAGGAGACTAGGGTCTGATTGCACCAGAGCTTGTAGATACTCAAACTAGTTGTCACAAACATACAAATAAAAAAAACTAGTTAAGATCTCCATCTCTATCTCCTTTGATCTTTCAAGTATGACAAAACAGGAAACATCTAAATAAGTACCTCTGGATTGTTGCGCAAGGTATCAAGTGACCATTCTTGGACTGCACCTTGAGGAACTTCAGGTTGTTGAGTATTCTCCTGTGTGCCCTTTACATAAACATTTTATTCTCAGTATTAAGATTATCAGTCTCTTAAAACTACACATTAACCTTACTATACTATGTGCACATGTTTCTGAAAAAGAACTTACAAAGTAAAGATATTCCAAAGCTTTATCAAGGTCATTATATGCCAAACAGAGTGCATCGGCAACCAATTCACGGCTCCAAGCTCCACGGACCATCCCAAGAATCTGCTGAACGTTACTCTCTGAAATACGTCCATAGTTCACATTTGATGCAGCAGGTCCAGTAGTCTCAGTTGCATGAGCCTAAATTAAAATCTCAAGTTACTATTCTATCACTCACTAAACAAAAGATGTCAAAATAGTACAAGAATCTCAGGCTAAATGATACCAACTTACTTGAGGTTTAAGGCTAGCAGATGAAGTAGACGTTCCAATTGATGCAGGTTTTCTCTGCATTACCACAGATCAACAAGCTAAAAACTATACACCATATAAACTTCCATTACCAAAACCCTAAACACACCTTCATAACGGCAATATTGCTATTCTCGGAAACTTGGTTAGCCTCTACTGTTGTTTCATCTTTAAGCACTTTCCCCTTGTGAATAAGGATTTGTTCTGACGCAGGATATGCAGTAGCCCCCAGCACTGTCTCTATGTTAGTCTTCACATCAACAACCTAATCGAACGTACGTACGTACATATATTATTGTACATAACCATCAGTTAGATAACGAAAACAGAGCAAAGACTAGCAAGATCGATCCAAAGGACGAGACTCATGGATCTAAGAAGCGAAACACTACAAGCAGCTTCCCGTATCAGAGAAGAAAGAGCACATGATTCAAGACTATATACAAACAAAAGTAACCAACTTCCTGATCAAGAAACCATGATCAATCTTCTACCGTGACGAACAAGAAATCGAACGAACCCTAGATATGAAACTCGAGTGTTCCAAGAAAGAGATTGAGCGAAGTTTCTTGAGATTTTATACGTACCGAATCTTCGGGGTTGACTTGGATCTCGAAGCGAGCACACTTCAGAGTTTTGACAAATATCTTCATCTTCCCTTTCACCGGAGAAAGAAAAGAGATTCAAGTTCGAGAGAAAAACGGCGCGAGATTCTGTTTCGATGAATCGCCTTCTGTAACGAACTTCCGAGCTGAGAAAGAAGCAGGTATGCAGGTGAGTGACGACGAGAAAGGAGAAGAAAACGACTCAACTTTATATGCTCGGGGGGTTTATATAGTCTTCCTCTGCTCATCATTTCCTCTAATCATCCAATGTGATTTTGACACGTCTAAACTGGTGACTGTTTAACAAGTCTTTGACGTTTCTTTTTTTAAACAAGTCTTTGAAGTTTTTTTTTTTTTTATTTATTTAGCCTATGTAACCATTATTAGAGCACCTCCATTAGTGAAGTTCCCATGTAAAATATCTAACAAAACAGTAAGATTATCTGAGACTCCAAAATTATCTTCAAACAGCTTGGGAATGGGCTACTAAATTTGATTCAATTCGGTTCACACACTAGGGTAGAGATACCAACATGTGTGCAGATTTACTTGCAAAGCAATTTATTGTAATGAACAATCAATGGAATGTATACTATTGCTGTCTCCGATTTCTGTACAACAATGTACTAACAGTGCTTATTAATAAAATCAGATGACAAAAAAAAGGTCTTTCCCTATGATTCAATGTTTTCTTTTTTCCTTTCATTTTAGGTTTACAACGTAGTTATTTATCGTATCTTGCAATTCCAACTATTTAAGGCAACTTCTCCATTATCGTAACCAGTATATAAAGTATATTTATTCATTCGTTACTGAAACAAAAAAGAAACAAATCACTTAAGCGTGTATTTGTAATCGTCTGGTGGAAAAAATATTCCAAGTTTAATTCAACAAAAAAAGAAAGAATCTCACTTAAGCGTTTTTGAGTGCTTCACTACAGATCTCATTAATCTGCTTCTCGAGTCTCTCGATCTCTGTTTCAACGCGGGTTTTTTCTTGTGCACTCTTTGTCGTCTCTAACATGCTTTTCAATGACGAGATTTTCCTCAGGAGACTCTTGATCTACAAAAATTCATTTACCAGAATCATATAAGTAAACTAGTATTAATTAATAGATTAGTGAGAGCATTATTATAGTGGTTTGATTCAAGAGTATTTACCTTCCGATGGGGCCAACGATAGAGTCCGCCCCTTCTACATATCTTCTTAACCACTGTGGGACATAGACTCATCCTTCTAGCAGCTTCTTGAATCGGGAGATGGAAGTGCATACTTATATCTTTTAGTTTTAGTTTACCAGTCCGTTCTCTCTGTTCTTGTCCTCGGCACATATAAACGAAATCATAAAACCAAAGATCAGTCACTCTCTTGAATAAAATCAGATTACTTAAACCACAAGAAACACGTTCTTCATCTACATGCAAACCCTAACATATCCCCTATCCTCTATCCTCTCCATAGACCAGTGATTAAATATGTTTCCATAATAAAAATAATCCAAATATTTTTCTATAAACTTACTAAACCCTAACTAATATCTATATATGATCTTATCTACACTTAAAACCGGAATTATTATGTGTTCAACACTAAAATTCTTGGCACAAAGCAAACAATTCCTTGTCGCACAAGTAACATGTTGCTATCCTATAATAGAGTGAGTTTATTAGAGACAAAACCTGTATTGCAAGAGGGGTTTTTCTCCGTTTCTTTCCTTTGGACACTGGAGGTTCATCTCTCAATCCAACATACTGCGGCACAGATGGAACATTAAGGGCTTGGTGATCATCACGCACTATAGCCTGAGGCATTGGAACTTCATCGAGCGGTTGCACGAACAAAGGCGACTGGTTATCAGGGAAGCAAGCATTCATCGCTTGATAGAAATCAGCATTAGTATCTTGCACAACTCCAAAACCGCATGCCACTCTCGCCGCGAGATAGTCTTCTATAAACCTCTTCACATCATCCATCGATAAAAACTTCAAATCAATCGTTTGATGTTGCGGTTCAGTGGAACCATCAAGTCTGTGAATCTCGAGAATCGCATGGCAGAAGTATCCTATCCCTCCATGAAAATCAAGTCTCATCATCTCCTGACCTATACAACCATGCACAAAATATTACCAAATAAAACAAAACCATTCAATAAAAAAATTCTTACATGATTTATATAATAAATAGTTATACCATTGCTATGGATTAATGTTCGAAGACGGTTGCAACAAGTGCACACGAGTATGCCGTTGGAAACTGTTGGTGTAATAGGCACGACAGGCGCTGATGAAGAACCACCGGCTTCAAAATTGGGACCGTTTTCAACAAAAACACGAGTACTAACTTCAAGTCTACTAGTGCCACCAACATTATTATCATTAGTACCAAAATCTCCTAGGATATTACTGTCAATGTTGTCGTATAGAAACTCAGGTGGTATATCTGACAATTCCCAAGAGAGGTCAATATCATCGTCAAAAGATGTAACAAGAAGATCGTCTGTGTCACCGTTAGGGATTGTAAGTGAGAGTTGATTCAACATCCCGGTTTCGATTATATCCGTGGTTGGTATAGTAACGGGAGGAGGAGGAGGAAGAGGAGGGACTGGAGTTTCTGTGAAATCAAAGTCCATTAGATTAGGGTTTTGATTTGACATAAGGTTTTGGAGTTCCTCTTCTGAGAAGGGTTCATAGTATGGATCACCATCGTCTTTGTCTTCAAGACCGGATGATTTTGGATGATCATCACCCGCCATTTTGTTTTTTTTTTTCTTCACAAAATGAGTGAAACTCTCTCTCAAGCACCGTGTGATGATGCTTGAGAGTTGAAGAACCAAAGAGTGAGTGACAAAAGTTCTAACGGTTTGATCAGGGAAAGGTTTTTGTAGATAAGAGAGAGAGAGAGAGAGAGAGAGAGAGAGAGAGAAATTTTGGCGGTTAATGGTCGTTGGAGAGTAAGTTATATTTCATTCAACAGATGCGTTTGTTCAGTTAATTTGTCTTGCCGCGAGAATAACTGTTTATTTATTTTTTCTTGAAATAATTTTATAACAACGCAATTAATATCAAGTCATTAATTAATGTATATCGATCTCAGTATGGTGATTCATAAAAACCTATTTGCTTGATGTTTTTTTTTTTCTGTTAATTATTATGAAGAAAGTTATATCTACAAATTAACATTTCAAGGATTCTCATACTAATAAAACTGAGTGGATATCATGCATGCACCAGTAGTTCCAAGTTGAGGCTATTGGTTCACTCACAATCCTGAGAATTTTAGAGCAAATCTAGTACCCACATGAAGAGACCCTGAGCATCATGAAAATTAAAGTTTTTCTCCAGAGCTGTAACATTTGTTTAAAGGCGGGTACACTTACTAGTCAAGAGCTCTCGAGGCTTAACATGTTCGCTGGTGCTATTATCAGTCGGTAACCACATGGTGATTGTCTCAGTTACCACTTTACAAGCTTGATAATTCCAACTAAGAAGAGCTAGAATATAATAATTAGATAAGAGAAATGAGTTAAACCAATACTGAAGCATATGAAGGCATTAAGTTTCAAAAAAAAAAAAGCATATGAAGGCATTGATATAGGCCACAACAAAGACTACAGTAAGGCCAACCTCAACTTTGAATCAGAAGCATCTCTGATATTTTCGATATTGATGCGTTCATCCTCAAAGGAACAGCGATGTAGTCCTATAAGCAGAATATCTCTCTGTTACATATAAGTTAACACACAATCTGTTCACCATGCCCTCCTTGTATATGGATTAGTAAAGTTCAAAGAATGTCGGCAAGATAAAGTATGCAAGACACTCGGTAAGAGAGAAAGAAGCACTCAACTGTTTCCATTTAAGAGAGACATATGGACTCCACTCTTAAAGCTATATTTATTTTTTTGCTTTTCTCACAATACATGAAAAGAGAACTGGTAAGAACAATACGGCGCTTTAATATACAGATTTATCAAATCACAAAAACACATAAGGTGTTGTTGGAGAGCTTGAACACAGCCAAGAAGTTAAAAAGAGATGTTACTGCTATCCACAATGGTGTAACATCCTCAGAAAAAAAGAAGAAGATAAATTTATATATTACACAAAACCCAAAAGAGAAGAGAGATACAAACCAGACCTCTATTCCTCAAATAAAATTTTACAGATTCTTCTAAATCTTCTCCTTAATTATTAATGTATAAACAAAACGCTGGACTGATCTTCATCCTCTCTCTCTCTCATGAATAACACTAAATAGATATCTCACATATTCATTTGCTTCAAAAATTGTTGTAGTAATCAAATCCTTCTCTCTGTTAGGGCCTTGGGTGAACGAACGAACACTTCCTGAATCTCTCTATATACACTTGTTTTTTTTGGGTTTGTCTACTAAGCCATGGCAGGGATGCTCGAGCTCTGACGGTCACGGTTCAAGCAATCAAACCCTTCTACTCTAACTGCTGGTTGTTTAAGTCCAAATTTCATCCTAACGCATCCACGAGACGACGACGAAGATGCTGATGATGGAGATGGAGAAGGAAAGGCGGATGATGAATTGAGCTGAAGGAAAGGAGAGTTTGGTGAGAGTTGATTAACCTTCTCATCACGAAAGCGAGCATCTTGAGCTAATGGGTTCGCTGCTCTACTCGGAGGTGAACCGGGAAAATACGGTGGGGATGATGATACTAACTGCCCTATTGTTCCATTGTCCTAGAGAGACATATCAAATGAATCAGAGGAGCATCAAAAGGTGAATACTTTTTAATCGAATTTGACTCAAATGAAGCATACCTTTCTACGAATGATGTCCAAAAGCTCTGCACCAGCTTTAGCATCACACAGATCAGCAGCAGCAGTTTGACTATAAAAAAAAAACAGAACAAAAACAGAGTATTGGGTGTAAATGTTTAGGTCATAAAACAGAGTAGAATCTGAAAAAGGAAGATGCTTTAAAAAACACAAATCAGTAGCAGCTTGACTAATAAAAAACAGAACAAAACAGAGTATTGGGTGTAAATGTTTAGGTCATAAACAGAGTAGAATCTGAAAAAGGAAGATGCTTTTTTGTTTTTTGTTTTTGTATATACCTCATATGTAATCTGAGAGGGCAGCGAATTAGGTTAGCCACTCGTTGAGGCTTAGGACAAACGACAAGATCCTCCTTGCTGCTGCTGCGATCAAATCCCATCATCTCCTCGCGAGACATGAAGGCGTTCTGCTGAAAGTTGTATTGATTCATCTTTGAAGAACACGCCCTGAATTAGGTTTCCAATCAAATTAGGTCAGATCCATCCATCAACAACACCCAATAGGGTAAGAAAGTTTCAAACTTTGGAAAAAGATCTGAGAAAAGTTTTAAGCTTTTGACAGAGTTTCTTGTCTGAATCAATTAAAAAGGGAAAAAAAAAATATATCGATCTGTAAAAAAAAACAGAGCATGAGGGATAAGAGAGATACCTGAGTAATATCTCCGAGAGAGGAGAGAGTAAGATGACGGAGAAGATTTTTTTGTAAGTGAGAGAGAGAGAGAGGCGAAAACTAGTCAGAGGAAAGAGGGATTTTATAAAAGGATGAGAGACAAAGTGTGGGGGAGGTTGAAGACGACGTGAACCGACGCCGTTTTTGGGGTGGATTTGTGAAATTTTATTTTATTTTTTATTTTATTTTTTCTTGCCGTCGTAATAGTGATATTTGTGGACAGCTAATATTCCGGTTTTCATGCAATTATTATTTGACTTGTAAACTAATCATCTTTTAATTTCTATCTATTGCTTGATTTACTACCTTTTTTATGTTTGACCCAAAAAAATACTACCTTTTTATTAGCATCGTAATATCTTTATTTTCCATAATTTAACTTGTTCAACTTTTTGGAAAAAATATTCTATTGCGAAAATGTAAAATTCAGTTTATTAATTTAAGTAAATAAAAATAAATATTGAAACGGTGCCTCCTTCCAAAAATATATAGTTTATTTATTTTATTTTTTAACCAAATATTATATTAAAATCAACTTGGTTCAAATCGGATCTGATTACATTCCGACTCGTACAAAATAACTCAAATTAATCGTTGCCTAACTAGTTTCGTTTGACCCATAATCCTGGCACGTTATCCAATCTCAATGAGAATCGAGAACCGTTCTCAACCTTTGGCGTGTATCTCGGGAAGGAGAGATTCACCTCGTTACCTCGGATGCCGGAACTTCCCAAGACGTCTTTGGAGTAGCTAGCTCCCGATGAATTTGTCTAAGCTCATAATCATCACCGTCCTTGAAGCTTCATACGAACAAAGGAAAGAGAGGGCAAAAAATACTAACCAAGAGAATCCAAAGCCCGACTACACACTCCTTTCCTTTGTCCAAAAGCCGATCTGACCTCGACGTCACACATGTCTGAACGACTCTTAGACCTGCACAAACATCAGCCAAAACCTCTACCAAGAGGACATGGCTCAAATAGGACACCGCCACAGCTGGGACAAGGAGCGTGACGCTATTTGCTGCCTTCAAGAACCGAAGAACAAATGATAATGACCTGCCAATACTAACCACCAGTGTCGAGGTGGAAAATAAGATAAAATCCCAACTCAGAGTCGAAACCCACAAACCGGAAGCCGTCGCCACCTTGCTGGAAAGCCGGAGACATGATTAGAACAAGGATTACAAAATGAGATGGACTACTAAGTCACCTCCGAAAGCCATAAACGACCTCCGGACCCAATAAACCCAAACGAGCCGTAGACTGAACTGGATGTCATCTCCGCCTGCACACCATAACTCACAGCTCGCCTCCGGTGACCGCAGACAACTGGAACTCACATTGACTTAACTGGAGAAGAGAGACCTCCACGACACCGCGGATGCCTCGAAACAAAACCACCACCACCATACGCCATCTCCAATCAGGAACCACAACGGTGATCCAACGAAAAAAGACACTTGCAAGCCTGAAACACGAACAACAAGAACACGAGACAGATCGAAACAGAGGAAAATAGATCTGATCTCTCAGCCAAAAACCCGACTCCCACCGACGAAACCTTCTTCAATCCTTCGCGCTAAGACTCCAGAGTAAGCAAATCACCACCGGACGGAGCATTCCTCACGAGCGGAGATCCTGCCGTTAAAGATTCCTCAAGCCACAGCCTGAAACAAAGCGAAGGGGAAGATGAGATCATTGGAAAACAATGAAAACGAAAAAACAATCACCTCCGGCGCCGTCGGTCGCCGGAGAAAAACTTCAAAGTTTGTGAGGTCGAGAGTCGAGAGAGTTAAGTTTATTTATCATGTAAGGGTACTGGCATTCATACACTATAATTTGAGTTTTGAGATTTGTTTTTGATGGGTTCTATAAAAATGTGTCCATGTCAGCGAGCAGTTATAACATCATGAGTTGGCTAAGTTGGATTATTAATTAGCAAACGATGATCTCTTAATCTTTGATCGAGATCGGAATCATATAAGTAGAACTTATCCTTATTCCTACGACCAGATGAATAATTGTAGGGAAAACCAGGGTCGGGTCATAGGTTATGCTAGGCGAAACATTTGTTATAGGTTATCAACATAGACATAGGTTTCCAAAAAAAAATTTTAGACTCCTATAAAAAAAATTTCATAGAAATAGTAACATGCTTCTATAATCTCAAAACCGGCAAACTACTCGCAATATATGCTTCAGTAACCAAATCATATGGATATATATCAGGTATGTGTCCTCCAATATATATAACATCGGTTTTCTCTGGCGTCGACTTGTTTATTTATTTTATATCATTCACAAAAGACTTTGATGCCTTTGTATATGGACCAGCCCAGTAACGATATCCACCACCCACTATAACTTTCCCCAGTACCGGTCCTGACATGGGAAAGACCAGAAGCAATTTTCAAAAAATTGGTCATTTTTATAAAAACGTTTATATACTATAATAATATTTTTCATATAAAAATGTTGAATTTTTCAAATATTTTTTGAAGGCCGGAAACGATTGCTTGTAATACTTCCTCTCATGTTCGGTACTAACTTTCCCCTATTGATATGTGACGATAAGAGAAAGTAGACGTGCGACCTAGAACCTTAAATAAAAGACGACAAATAACAAAAAAAATACTACGAAGATAGCAGATATAAAATATATAACCGTGGAGGTAGAGAGGGAGATGTTCTGTTTTGTTTTAGGAAAAGAATAGACAGTGGGAAGTGAGACATGCGAGCCATTTACGCATTGTACAAAGGAAGAATAAAGCCAAAACGGCATATACTTATTGATTATACTTTCTCAAGAAATAAAATAGAAATGCATATATATCGTGTGATGAGATCAGATTTTCTTAAGATAATCAAACTTAATCAGTAGTTGAATATTAAATATGTTTGGTATCAGTCAGGAGTTTCCCTAACAAACAATGTATCCAACAGTTTCATAAACACCTAGACTTGAAGACTTTATTACATAAAGTCAGATAACCTAAAACATTTAAAACAGGGATAACCTATATATAAACGGCTTACTAGTCACTAGCTTGCCGTGGTGGTCTTGCAAATATAAAACGAGGGTGAAGTTACTGCCTGGATGTAATCCACGAACTTGACGTGATTGTGCCGAACAGGTAAACAATTTGAGCAAAAAGTAAGTATGCTGGCTAAACAAAGTGAGAAGTAACCAAATTAGTTCGTTGATTTTTATTTTCAATTTTCACCATTGCTGCCAGTTCGATGCAACATATTTCTATGTGTTAGTAAAGCTGTAGTCTTAGAGATTTCATTTAATGTATATATAGTTGATATCCAACTTACTCTGACTTAAATGGTGTTAAACTTTCACATGATTTCAAATGAAAAATCTATGTGGGGAACTAATCAGAACGTTACTCCTATTATAGTATATTAGCAAGTTGCAAGCTTCACAAAGCGATACATCAAATCAACATACTAAAAACAAAAGTATAACTTGTCAAAAGTTTATGAGCCTCGTTAATAAAACCTAGTAAACAAATTATCTCAAGCTATGATTTATATACTACTACAATACTAAATCCCATTTATCATACTAAATTCATAAAATACAAAGCTTAAATCCCGCCGATGATCTCTGCCTACAAAATGATTTTTTTCTTCTTCTTAATAATTATCAAGACTATAAAAATGTGAAAATCTCGTTGGTTGAGATCCCATATATAAAAGAAAAAAGAAAATAAGGAGGCTTCCAAGTTCCTACTACTTTTGAATCATTCATGCTAACTCCTCACCTAAAATGCACGTGACGTGACTCATTATAGAGTATTACTACAAGTTGGCATCGCATTAATATTATTGTCGTCTATCAAACGACACTGACTCGTTAGCATATCATCACAGAATCTTGTGAGGAACCAATCTCAAACTCTCTCTACTTCACAAAATAAATAATAATACTCCCCGACCCGACAGTATTTGTTCACACGACGAACGCATTATTAAAGACAAGAACCACATAACTCAATTTGATGTAATAGAAATTGCGTAATTCTCATGATTTCTTCAACTTTTTCTTCCCAATTTTTTTTTTGGACAACACAACGTTATCTTTCTCATTAACCTGATTAAAAAAAGAGAAAAAAATCAAGTTGGAAAATAACAGTTTTTAACTTTTTATTATTATTATCTTTTTTTTTTTTTTTTTTTTTTGAACACAACTATTTATT